TGAAAGAGACATTAATGAGTAAGAAGAAAACATGGAAGGCGTGAAACTCATTGGTAAAAGTAATTAAACATAATTTCAGAATGCTCTAATACTGTACACATCATGTATAAAGTGTATCTTTATTATGAAGACTAAAAAATAAAGGCTTCAAAAATAATAACTGCATTAAAATGTTAAAGAGATAGACAACAGAGACGTAAAATGAGCTATTAGAAAATCAAAATGTCAGGAACAATGAAAGTGTAGTTTTCTTTTTAGTATATATTCTTATTTTTATAATCACGTTTTGCTATCATTTAAAAATAGCTTGTTATCATCAAAGGATAAAGCCATATGGCAAATGCAAAGTGAAATCTATAATAGACAAATCCTAAATAATATGCAAGGACTCAAACCACAATACTAGAGCAAATCACTTACCCACAAAGGAAGACTACAAGAGAGTGAAGAAAAGGAAAGGAACTACAATAAAACTAGAAAACAAGTCATAAAATGACCACAGTAAGATTACACCTATTGATAGCTACCATGAATATAAATGAATTAAATTCTCCAATTAAAAGACAGCAACAAAAAGTATTAAAAAAAAGACTCAACTATATGTTGCTTACAAGAAATTCAATCCTAGGGACAGGGATTTAGCTCAATGGCACTTCACCTGCCTTACAAGGGCAAAGTCCTGAGTTTGATCCCTGGTATGGGGGATGGTGGCAAGAAATTCACTTCACCTCTAACACCTATAGACTATAAGTGAAGAGATGGAATAAGGTATTCAATGCAAATGGAATCTAAACAAAATAGGTATAGCCACACTTACATCAGACACAGTGATAAGCAAGCAGCTCATTATTTAAATCAAAGGAGGTAAAAGGAGACAAGGTCATTATATAATGATAAAGGGAGGAAATAAGAATTCTAAATATACATACATTTATTACATCAGAGCACCCAAATATATAAAGCCATTATGGAAGAGACTACAGAAATGCCTAAAAAAATTAAGAGCTACCCCACATGATCCAGCCAGCCCATCCTTGGTTTATATCCAAAGGAAACTAAATCAATATGCAGAAGACACCTGCACTCTCATATTTACTGCATCTATTCACAACAGCTAAAAAACAGAAACAAATGAATGTTCATCAGCTGATAAATGGATAAAGAAAATGCAGAACATACACCTAATGGATTTGGAAAAAAAAAAGTATGAAATTCTGTCACATGCAACAACACAGATGGAACTGGAGATCCCTATGTTAAGTAAATGAGACATCAAAGAAAGACAAATACTGCACGAGAAATCACCTAAATGTGGAATGTAAAAATGGTGGAATATGTGGCGGTTATGCTTAATTTTGTGTCAACTTGATTGGTTTGGAAGCTGCCAAGAAGACTGGTAAAGCACACTTCTGGGTATGTCTGGGTGGGTCATGGAGGCATGAGCTTGGTTATGGGCCTTCATCCCTTCCTCTATGATGCTGCCCCTGCTCTTCTTCCCAGCTCCATGAACTAAGCATATTTTCCATTTCCTTCTGCTATAATGTTCTTGCCTTGCAGTCAGCTGAATATGGACTAAATCTCTCCCAAACTCTGAGCCAAATTAACACTCTCCTCCTTTAAGTTGGTTACTATGTCTCAGGGACAGGAAAGCTGACTAACTGGTACTGAGCATGGGGTCACTGCTATAACTATACCTGCCTGTGTGGTTCAAAAGCCTTTAGAACTGGATTGCAGGAGAAATTCAGAAAGGTTTAAAGATGTGGGCTAGAGAAGTGCTAAAATGCAGCAAGGAGGGCATGATGAATGATTTTGATTGGGACAGAGAAGAGCTGGGTTCAGGGGGTTTCAGTCAAGGACTTTATGGGTAACTGGATTAAAGGCCATGTATATTACACTCTGGCAAAAACAAACAAACATTTCCTTGCCCATTTCCTGAGTTATTACAGGAGAAAGATGGAGGCTGGTGGAGTAACTAGTCTGGAGGAAAAACTTTCAAGGCAGTCAATATTCAGGCTATGGCATGGGTACTACTGGCTGCCATTAGACAGATTTATAGTGAGAATCAGGGGCAAAAGGTAGAGTGGAAAATTTGAAGTTTAAATTTTGGCCCCAAAGCAGGTATGTGTAAAGTTGGCGTGACAGGAGGTATGGTTACTGAGAACTAGTCCTATTAAAAATAATCTAAATGTTTTGTATATGGACAAGAAGAAAGATGTCTTCGGAGCATCTCAGAAATCTGTAAGATCCAACTCACCACAGGCTCAAAGGTACAAAAGTGTCAATCATTCACTTGAGAAGAATCACTGGGATATCTGTTTGAGAAGGCCTCCTAGGGAACTGCTTCCCCAGGATTCATTTTACCGTGCTCAGCCATTCAAGGCACTCAATGTCTCAAAGGGACCTGGTTACTACTTCTACTGACAACAGACCTTGCTACTGTCCTTGTGATGCTGGTTTAACCAGCATACAAAATGCAAAAGTTGTGACAGTAGGGATGCTTCTAAACAGACTTCAAGGGATGTGCTGAGACAAAAGGCAAGTGGAAATAAAGTTGAAGTGCCGTGGAAGCCACACAGAGTCAGAGATGCCAAAACTGGAATGTCTGCTGAAGAAAGTTGTAGACCATGAGCTGAGCCTGAGAGAGGCTGTAGGGCTGCCTAAGCTCTCTGGAACTCACATGTCACTGCCATGTGCCCCTGATGCTGGATACAGAGCACAGGATTTAATGTTTGCCCTGCTGGGTTTCAGTTTTGCTTTGATCCAACTTTTTCTATCCTCCATTCCTCTCTTTTGGAAGGGGAATGTCTACCTCATGCCACTGTACCTTGGGATTATATAACTTATTTTTTATTTTTACAGAGGTTCACAATTAAGGCTATCTTCAGTCTGAAGAGATTCTGACTTTTGAAAAATGCTGGAATAGTTGAGACTTCAGGAAGGGAATGTAACATTCTGCTGTACAAAGGACTGTTTTAACATGCTAGGTGGAATTATTAACTTGTTATTGTGTTTATTTGGAGATTAAATACAGTTTAAGGAGACAAGTTTGAGTCGAATGTGTTGGCTAAGCTTAACTGTGTCAACTTGACTGCATTTGGGAACTGCTGAAGGGATTAGCAAAGCACACTTCTGGGTGTGATTGGGTGGGTTCCAGAGGTGTGACCTTGGGTATTACATCTGGCCCTTTGCCTCTTCCTCTTTGGAGTTGTTCCTCAGCTCTGCTTCCTGGCTGCCATGAGTGGCACAACTTTGCTCTGACATGCCTTTCCACTATGTTTCTGTCTTGGAGCCAGCTGACTATGGATTGGATCCTCTGAAACTGTGAGCCAAATTAAAGCTCTTTTCCTTTAAATTGTTGGCTGTTGGGTGTTGTATCTCAGGGTCATGGAAATTAACTAGTACAGTGTCATAAAAATTTTGAGTACGATGGCAGTTACAAGAAGCTGGGGACAGTAAGACAGGGAAACGGACAGGGCAATGGTGACCAATGGGTATTAAGTTACAGTTAGAAGCAAGAAGTTCTGATGTGCTATTACACAGAAGAGTGACTGTAGATAACGATGCATTATGTGTTTCAAAAAGTTACAGAAAAGTATATCGTGTTTTCACCATAAAGAAATCATAAGTGCTTGAGATATACTTAAGCTGATCTAAACATTACATAATGTATTAATATATCAAAAGCATTATATTACTCCATCATTACGTACAGGTTTTTATGATTTTATCAGTCAAAAATTTTTAAATAAAATAAAATTAAGTAGAAGACAATAAGTGTGTAATGACTCCCTGTAAAATGAAGCATACCAAACTGAAATTTCCCTTAAGTTTCTTACTATTCAAGATCAGAAAGACAGCCAGGCATGGTGGTGCATGCCTATAATCCCAGCACTTGGGAGGCTGAGGCAGGAGGATCGCTGTGAGTTTGAGACCAGACTGGGCTACATAGTGAGTTCCAGGTCAGTCTCAACTACATAGTGAGACCCTGTCTCAACCCCCCCCCCAAAAAAAAGACAATCTCTGACAAAAGAAGTTACAAGTGAATTATAAGGAATAGGGGATGCTTACATAAAGTCACATTGTTGACCCTAAAGGTGTCTGTAGCTGTGGTTTTACTAACAATGTAGAAACACTAAACCAATGGTTCTCAAGGTGGTGACAAACCTTTCATACAATTGCAATTTTTAATACAGTTGTGAAAAATTAATGAAAATATTCATTTTTATGGGCACATTAGGCCACTTAGGCCAGGTTCCAATGTTCACTCATATGGACCCCTCTTTGAGCTCCGGTCTTCCACTCTTTCATTCAGTAAACTAATATTTAACCAACAGTACCAAATGGTAAATGCTGCCTTATGCAAATAGGCTGTGGCAAGAAACAGAAGTACATAACACAGATATACCATCTGTTCTAAGTACTACAAAAAAAAAAAAAAAAGAGTACAGTGAATCTGAAACAAATGAACAGAGCAGAGAGGGAGACGTGTGTGTGTGCATGAGCAGTAGTACCATGCATCCAGGATGCATGCACCCAAATTTGTAGATATGCTTGTGGTTAGTCAAGATGTTCCTGATTCACAGCCTGTACGTGTTTAATTAGCTATGAAGCAAGACCAGCAGAGATTTGGAGTTTAGAGTGGGTAGGTAATGAAAAGTTAGAGACCTGATGAGGCAGGATAAGCACTGTGAGGTTACAAACACCGACTCACTCTTAAGGACAGGTGGCCACAGAGCTGAACACAGCAGGAAGATGGCAGGCTTCACATAGTTATCAATAAATAAGGCCATAATGGCAGATAAGCAACTATTGATACCTTCTAAGTTTCCTTTAAATGAAAGTCTCACTCCTTTTGGCTGGGATGACTGGATATTTTAAAAATAATAAACTGAAGAATTCATATTATTTTAGGCACATAACTTCCATGCAAACATTCTCCAAGACAGTTAGTATTATTTCCAAAATAATTCTATTTATATGGGCAGATAAAGTTTACTTACACGAATATGATGTCCCCTCTTTTAGAGTAAGCAGGAATTGCACTGGCTATGGTAGAAAAGCCATATGAGTATATAATGGCTTCCTCAGTTTTCATAAATTTTGCTAGGTGCTCTTCCAAATCCAAATGAACATCTATTTCAACAAAAAAGTCAAATAGTTAAACCATACTGTAATTCTTTTTGTTACATGACTAAAGAATAAAGAAAGGAATGTGACAGTTTTATTATTAATACTTTCACCTGATGGTAAAATGTAATTGTTCTAAAATAATAAACTATAAAACATCTAAAGTATTAAAGTAATTCTCAACCAGAATCACTTCTGAACTAGATGAACTGAAATCTGCTACCTGTCTGTCCATTTAGCATTTACAGTCCTCTACTGTAAATTCTCCAGAACCACTTTCTTCACTTGTTTTAATTTTCCTTGAATGAAAACACTGAATCTTTAACAGTGTCCCACATCAATTCAGTAACAGCTTTTTTAATTTTAAAGAGTGTGGTATGCTGTGTCAACATAGTGACACATACAAGAATGCCAGTGACCTTTCCTCTTGCAATCTGCATTGGCACTTAGTTGTACTACCCGACTTTCCTGTATAGGACCTGACTTTCCTGTGGAGGACAGGGCTTCTACCTGAATGTCTTACAAGTATATTAGGGAATTCAAACTCATACCACAAAAAGAGACAAGAGTCCCTCTATAGAAGCAGTTTAAGAAGAACCTTTATGTAATAACAGGGATAAACTATAATTATTAAACTGATATGTCTCCCTCTTAAATTATGATTCCTTATAGTTCCTAGGATGACTCATGGGAGTCTACGTTCTGGGATGGAAGGACAAACAATACTTAGAGTGAACAGGCCACCCACTGGCTTTGAACCTTAGAATTTCAAGTTTAACTTGTTCTACAGGCTTGAACAATTAGTAGTAGATGCATGACTGTGCCATTGGACAGATTGTACTAGTGGTGATACAAACAAATCTAATCACTTTTATTAGTCTTTTTACTAATCAAATTAACAAAAAACCACACAATGGGATAGTCATGCACATACCACCAGTGGTTCAAGCTGCTGGGGAGTGAGACATGAATTACAGCCTCCCTGTGAATGTGGTAAAATGAGACATTATGGAAGAGAGAAATGGACTTTAAAATATTCCTTTATCTCTTTTAACTGCAGTAGGACCCATGCCTGGAGGGATGAACCACAGAATGCACTGAGCTCTGTTTAAGGGATACTTCCCATATAGAAAGAAGAAAGTCAGGTCTTGGTATGCCCAGAGCTCTGAGTGAGAAAGGAGGAGAACATAGGCCATAGAAGGCAGATTTTGAAACAGGGGAAGAGGAAGTGGTATTGTGTCTACTGGGGAGAATGTTGAAGTGTAGGTTATGATCACCCCTTTCCACCATGGTTTCTGCCTTAGAGCCAGCCATGTGGGGACTGAACCTGAGAAACCAACAGTTAAATTCAATCTCTCTTCTTTTAAGGAGTGGGTGTTTATAGTGTGTGTTAGAAATGAAAAAGCTGGGCCGGGAACTTAACTCAGTGGTTCCAACGCCTGCCTAGCAAGCGCAGGGACCTGAGTTTGATCCCTGGTACCAAAACAAAACAAAACAAAGAAATGAAAAAGCTGACCAATACAAGTGGTAAAATATATAGCACTGTTTCTCCCAATTTACTAGTTACAATATATATAAAACAGCCTATGAACATACAAACAGGATATGAAACATCATTTAATTTCCATTACCAATCGGCAATAGTCATTCTACACACTGGACACTTTATATTATGTCAATATTAAATAAATGTGAGATTTTATACTAGCAGGTTTAGAATGTACTCCAGTTGTCTGTAAGCACTGAAATTGACATTCACAATACACAAAGCTAAGGGACTTGACTGTCGGCCTTAAAGGAAAGAAAGATATCAGTGAAAGGTTTCAGGTAACCTCACCAGAAAATAGAAAGTTGCCAATGATACTGGTTAATCTCTGACATATCTTCTTTCTCCTCTGGGCACCACTGCCCTATCACCTCTCACTTCCCCGCCTGGTAGGTCCTGTGTAGGGGGCCTCCTCAAACTACTACAACACTGTCTGTGAATGGCAGCATCTACCACAAACACTCATCTATCAGTCAGCAGCAGATGGACAACCCAGCCATGGCAAACTGCTTTCAACTGAGATCTCCTTTTTAAAATGGAGAGCATGCCATGGATACAAGACAGTATTTTTACTAATGACAAAAAGAATTTTAAATCATTGTTTAGACTGCTTAGCTTCTAATGACTTTTTATGGGTGAGGGAAGAGGCTAAAAACTGAACATGGATTTATTTTAGGCTCCAGAGTAAGTTACTTTGTTGATGTTCAGCATATTACTATCACAATTGTAAATATAAATTGCAATTAAGTGGCAAGAAGAATCTCTACACAATAAATCAATGAGTTATTGATTCTTGCCAAGTCTCAGAGTTTTCAGAATTCTGGCCACTTGTTTCATCTGAAGACAATGGGTTTTTGCAGACACCAGCTCTACAGAGCAGGTTCTGTGATGTATAAGTACAGGTAATGGCAGAACTTGTTTGTTGGTGCCACAAAGTGCAATGAAGAAACTCCCAATCCAAAAGAGGGAAGGCAGCAGGAAGGAAAACAGAGCACAGCTTGCAGTCAGGCCTCTGGGGTTCAGACCTGGGCTAAGACAAGCCTGAAACTGCTCTGTGCTTTTTAGTGCCCTCTGGCACACAGGGTAGCAGGCAAATCTTCCTCAGAGGGCTGCCAGGCCCACACAGGATAATACTGACAAAACACAGAACAAGCAGAATGCTAAGTACATAAGAGCTTATTCAGTTAGAAAAGTGTCTATAGAATAAAGGATTTTCTACTAAAAGGAATAACCTGGTTATACTTTGTTATTTTCTTTTAAGGTATCTGAACTTTCAACAGTTAAAGACTATCTTCTAAGAGGCAAGAGATCAGCTTGCAGGGGTAGGGGTGTGTAGTTAGGAAAAAAATAGATTAGGGGCCTCATTAGGTCTTCTAGAAAATCCTGACTAGCAGGAGCTAAAAATAAACTTACTAGGAAAACACTCTTGGAAAGCAGGTCAAGGACAGGGGTAGAGAAAGAAAGAAAAACCAGATAAAGAAAGGCATCAAATGACCTTGGAACCAAGAGACCAAAAAATGAGATGACAGGCAAATAGGATACAGAGAGAAAGCCCAGTGCACAAACAATAAGTTGCCACCACCTACAATATAATATAGGAGAAGCAAAAGAAGGGGGTGCTAACTTTAAAGCAGTTATGTACTCATAGCCCCCCCCACTCACAAATGTATTTTCTCTAGGATCACTGTATTATCCACTCTAGAATCACTATATTCACCATATTATTATAAACTACAATAGAAATCCATACAGCCTCTTACCAACTCCAAGCTAACCATGAGTAAGGCACCTCCTTGCTAACCTGCCATTCACATTAGAGATAAGCCCCTGAAAAATAGGTCAAAGACAAGTAAACAGATAGTAAGAAGCTGCATGTAAACTACCACAGGAGCTGCTGTAGATAGAAATACCTCAAAGACAATCTAGTTACGACAAGTTCTTCATGTGTGTATGTGTGGGGGGTAGGGTCTCTACTTGGGTGACAGGTATTTTGTCTCAGCCACGAGAAAAATAAGACAGAATTTGTGGGGTCATTACTGTGTCTACCTGACTGTGATTCAGGTCTTTACAACTGGCTTGTGGGAAGAATTTGGAAAGGTCCAGAGACATCAGCTACAGAAGCAGCCCTGGGACCTCACCTGGATACCATTGGTAAGTGAGCTCAGGCAACAGCCAGAGAAGCCTTCCTGGACAACGGCAGCATGGGTGAGCAGGCACTAGCCAGGGAACTACCCAGACACCAGCAGTCTGGGCTCTCAAGATCCCAAAGGCCTGCCCAGACAACAGCGGCACAGGTATGCAGGCTCCAACAAGAAGCCTGTCTGGACAACTGCACTGCTGCGTAGGTCACAGCCAAGGCCCTGCCCAGATACCAGCAGCTTGGGGGCCCAGGCCCAGGCCCTAGCCAAAAGCCAATCCTGGACAACAGCCCAGTGTGGGGATCCAAAAGGCAATCATTCTGAAACCAGGAATTGGCACAGTGCTGGGCAGCAGAGAGAAGGCCTCTCTAAAGCTTTTTGAGAATTTAAGCCAAAAGAGGGAGCAGAGTCACTGAAATAAAGGTGCAGCAGACTGCACTGGTTGAAATAGGAAGACACCTAAACAAGACTCAAAATCAGGCTTCCAGAATACAAAAAGAAAAAAAAAAAAAAAAAATCAAATAAACACTAATACGATAATTGTGGGAGACCTCAATACTCCACTGTCATAAAGAGAAAGACCAGACAAAAAATCGACAATGAAATACTAGAATTCAACCAAACTATTGAACAAATGGACTTAACAGATGTCTAGTGTTCCACCCCACAAAGTCAGAATACACATTTTTTCTCAACTGCATATGCATCATTCTCCAAAATGGAGCTCACAGGACATGTTTAAGTAAATGCAAAGAAATTCAAATTATCCCCTGAATATTATCATACTGCAATGAAATTAAAGATCAATACCAAAAGAAATCACAAGAATGTCATAAACACATGGAAATTGAACAACACAGTCTTGAAAAACCAATGGATGAGAGAGGAAATTAAAGAAATCAGACAGTTTCTACAATAGTTGGTTCTTTGAAAGAATAAACAAAATTTTTAAACCCTTAGCCAACCTCATCAAAAAAGGCCAAAATCCATGTAATTAGGATTGAAAAGGGTGAAATTACAATGGACCCAGCAGAAATTCAGAGGATCATCAATACCTACTTTGAGAACCTATATGCCAGTAAGATGAAAAACAAAGAAGAAAAGGAAAGATTTATATATATTTATACATATATATATATATATATATATGTATATATAGGTATATGTATATATATATATATATATGAATGTTGGTGCACTAGATTTGGTTCATAGGCATGTGACCACTATAGCCAAGAGAGAAGAAAGTGGCTACTGTTCAAGCTGGCAGAAGATTTTGGCATCAACCACATGGTGCTGGTTTTAGATGCATGCAGAATGTA